AACAGCCTCCTGATAAATGGATGAGCAACACACGGAGAACTCATTACCAGAGTTTCCTACTCAACCCTCCATGAGTGCGGTTCCACTCCAGTGCAGCCCTCAATCCTGCAACCCTACTGCCTGACCCTGACCTAGATGCTCCACTGCATGACTGTGCAGGGATCCTGGAGCAAGTACATGGATTCCGGACGGACCTAACCAACTGGCCCCTCCCTGATGCCAAAGCTATTTGGTTCACTGATGGCAGCAGCTTTGTGTGGGATGGACACAGGTATGCAGGTGCAGCGGTGGTCACCGAAGCGGACACCATGTCTACCCTCCAGAACGTCAGCCCAGCAAGCAGAGCTCATAGCCCCGCCAAGGCGCTGACACTCGGAGCTGGAAAACGGCTCAACATCTACACAGATAGACATTATGCATTTGCCACAGTCCATGTTCATGGGGCAATCTACCAGGAGAGGGGGTTACTGACGGCAGAGGGATGGACTATAAAAAATAAGCACAAGATACTTGACCTGCTCACGGCCTTATGGCTTCCTGCCAAGTTGGCCATTATCTACTGCCAAGGGCACCAGAAAGCTGATGACCTGGTAGCAAGAGGTAACCGAAAGGCTGACCAGGCAGCCAAAGCAGTGGCCCTTACTTCAGTCCCCACCATGGCCCTACAACTACCGGACATGGGAGACCCATTTTACCAGCCCAGCCCAAATACTCCCAGGAGGAGTTGCAGCAGATCAAGAGACTCCCCATGGCCCAGGAGATAAAGGGATGGTGGCATACACCTGACAAAGAGCTCGTGCTGCCAGACCGGCTCAGAGTCTCAGTATTAAAACACATGCATGTGTCTACCCACCTGGGGGCCCAAAAATTAAGACTTAATCTGACATGCCGGAATTAAGATTCACCAACAGGACACCAAAATAGAACAGGCTGTGTATCTGCCTGCAAGATCTGTCAACTCACAAATGCGAGAGCCACATCAAATGAAAAAGGAACCAGGCTCAGGGGCACCAAACCAGGAGCCCAATGGGAAGCTGACTTCACTGAAGTTAAAGCAGGAAAGTATGGTTATAAATATCTTTTAGTATTTATAGACACCTTCTCTGACTGGGTCAAGGCATACCCAACCAAGCACGAAACGACTCAGACAGTGGACAAGAAACTACTAGAAGACATCCTACCCAGGTATGGTTTTCCTGCCATGATAGGATCAGACAGTGGACCAGCTTTCATCTCGCAGGTAACGCAGGCAGTATCCAAGGCTATTGGGGCAGGTTGGAAATTACATTGTGCTTATAGGCCCCAAAGCTCAGGACAGGTAGGAAGGATGAATAGAACCCTAAAAGAGACCCTTACCAAATTAACCACGGAGACTGGCAGGGACTGGGTAGCTCTCCTGTCGTATGCCCTTTACCGGGTGAGAAACACTCCTTACAACCTGGGTCTTACTCCCTACGAGATCATGTTTAGCAGGACACCCCCTATCATTCCCAACCTTAAAGCTGAACTTCTTGCTGAATTTGAAAACCAAGAACTGTTTTTTTCCTTGAGAGGGCTCCAGAAGGCACACGAGGACATTTGGCCATGCCTCTGTGCCATCTACAAAGCTGGCACGACCCCGGCACCTCATCAGTACAGGCCAGGAGACTGGGTCTATGTCAAAAGGCACTGCCAAGAAACCCTTGAGCCGCACTGGAAGGGATCCTACATCGTGGTACTGACAACCCCCAATGCTCTCAAAGTAGATGGCATTGCAACCTGGGTCCATCACACCCACGTTCGGCCAGCGGACCCTTCCACAATCCGGAAAAACTTTGTCACCCAATGGATCGTCAATCGGAACCAACGCAACCCACTCAAGCTCAGGCTATGATACACTCAACCCGCCTGATGTTAGTAACTCTTATTAGTTCTACTTCTCACTGCTCATGCTGCCGAGAGTCCCCACACCCCTCTGAACATTACATGGCAAATTACAGACACCAGCTCAGGGACAATCCTTAGTCAGATTTCCCAGACACACCTGGTTTCCAGAACTCAGGTTTAACCTACTAAGCCTCTTCCATCTTGAATGCCCAGAACCCTGCCTCAGACCCAAGCCCTTTAACCCCCAAAACCCCCCGCTCCACTTTTACATCTGCCCTGAACCTTCTTGGACATCAGGGGACCCCTGCAAATCAGTAGCAGACAATTTCTGCATCTCCTGGTCCTGTGTCTCAACTGGTCACCTTTGGTTGGCATCCCCAAAATCCAGTGATCTAATCACCATCAGGCGGCTGCCCGCACCGCCTTGCAGCTCAAGTCCCTGTTACCCCGCTGGTCCAGTTTGTCAGAGACCGCATGGGGGCCATCCAACTAATGGTCCTCCATGCTCAATACAAGCTGCTAGTAACAGAAAAAAGCCAAATAGCAATGCAGCCAGTCCCATGATTGGGGCCCGTAAGCAACATGACAAGGGGGGATTGAAAGAGGAAACTGGGACCAACTCCATTTTTGTTCTGTGCCCACCGTTCTGAGTAACTGTGTCCCTGACCTAGCCCCGTTCCCGCTCAAACCACTCCTGGCAATCTGCGCAACAGGGACCTGACCCTTCCCCAGCCAATCGGCTAAAGCCACGACCATCACCCTGCCAACTGCCCCTAAACCCCTATAAAACCTTTGTGCTTTTGAAACACGCTCTCTCTCCGGCATCTCGCTGCTGCGTCAGTGCAGATGGGAGATTGAGCTCAAGCTAGCTCAAATAAAGGCTCTTTGCTTTTGCACTGGACTCAGCTCCCTCACAGTCTTTGGGGATCACAAATTCTGGGCACAACACTAAGTCTATGATTTTGGTAAAGTTAAGTTTCCTCTTGTCTTACCAAGCTTTAATTATCTTCAGTGTTGAGTAAACAAGTAACTGAAGTAACCATGAGACAGCAGTAGTCATTTAAAAATTTTTTGTTGAAGTATAAGTGACATATAACATTGTACTGGTTTCAGCTATAGAACATAATGATTCACATTCATGCACATTGTGAAATGATCACCATAGTAAGTCTGTTACCATTGGTCACCATAGAGTTAACTCTTATGATTACTCTCTTGACAACTTTCAAGAATAATCTACAATATTACTAACTAGAGTCACCATTCTGTTCTCTATATCTATGCTTTTGGTTTTGCTTGGTCATTTGTTTTATTTTTTAGATTCCACATGTAAGTGAAATCATACAGTATCTGGCATTTTCTTATTTTGCTTAGCTTAATGCCCTTAGGTCCTATCCATGTTGTTACAACTGGCAAGCTTTCATTCTTTTTTTATGGCTAAGTAATAGTCCATTAAATATATACACTACATCTTCTTACCCATTCACCCATAGATGGACACTTAGGTTGATTCCATATCTTGGCTACTGTGAATGATGCTGCAATAAAAACAGGGGGCATATATCTTTTCAAACTAGTGTTTTTATTTTATTTGGAATAAAGACCCAGAAGAAAAATTTCTGGATCATATGGTAGTTCTGTCTTTAATTTCTTGAGGAACTTCCCTACTGTTTCCCATAGTGGCTGCACCAATTTACATTCCTACCAACAGTGCACAGGGGTTCCCTTTTCTCCATATTCTCACCAAAACAGTTGTGTTTGACTTTTTTGATAACAGCCATTTTGACAACTATTTTCATTCTGGTTTGATTTGCATTTCCCTGATGATTAGTGACACTGAGCATCTTTTCATGGGTCTGCTGGCCACCTGTATGTCTTCTTCGGAAAAATATCTCTTCAGATCCTATACCCATTTTTTAATCGGATTGTTTGTTTTTTCCTATTTAGTTTCATGAATTCTTTATATATTTTGGATATTAGCCAATTTACAAATATTGAAATAGTCATTTTAAAAGCAATTTGATCATAAAAAAAAGTTGCAGTTCTCTAAAGCTCTTGCCTTTCCTCTAAGTTTCATAATGTCACTTAGCTGTAGATTAAATGCTCACTGTATAAAATATTAAAAACTTGCCCTTCAAAAAGGGCCATAAGCACCACCTATAATATTCAATTCCTTTTCTAGGAGTGTAAGAGGCATATTTCAGAATGTGAAACTGTCTACTGAGTAATTTACAATTACTCTTCAACAAATTAAAAGGAGAGCAAAACTCCAAAAGAAATTCAATTTTCACAATATAAGAAAAAAAGGTACAGACTTCAGAGAAGAATGAGACTGGAAAGGACAAAAAAAGTAGGTAAAAATGGAGAGACTTAAAAAGAATTTAAAACCTCGTATCAAAGATTGTCTTTGATGAAGGATAAACTGAAAAACAGTGAATAAAGGAGATTTGACAGATATGCATGATCTGAATAATTCAAATCAATATTCAAGAAAAAAAATCTCTTCTGCAGCTAGTAAGTATGGAAAAAATTGTTTTAAATAAAGTTCTGAAGTGGTCTTATGTCTTATCTTCTTGTTCTTGGCTAAATTGTAAACAATGAAATGCTCAAAGGCAGGCAGTAGAAAGGGGAGAAAAGGTCTGGATATGCAAAGTACATAATGAGTTTCTGACTTTAAAGGAAGCTATAAATAATCTACCATGCAAAAGAAAAATATCAGCTAGATAAAAGATCCCTCTTACCCTAACAATGACTGAGATATGACAAAGAAATTAGAGAAAACTTGTCAAGTACTTAACCTTAAAGACAAAAGATCCCACACTCAAAAAGCTAAAATTATGGCTAAAAGAGAACTGACTCACCATAATTTCCAATTTCAGCCTAACTAAAACATTTCCTATTTCAAATAACCTTTTAGAATTACTGGCATATTACTTTCCTTTTACAGATTATGTGGTAATATCCCAAGAAATATATGATGCTTTACATAATTAATGTTATTTTCCGGATCATCTCCTTTTCTGACAAGAAAATAGTTGTGCACTAAATAACAGCAAGAGTCTCAGCATTTGTTTGAGATGGAAAAGCTTGGGATGATGTTTATTTTTAGTAAAAACATTTTAAATGACACTTACCTGCTCCAAATAGTTCTTTGTGGACCTCTAATACCACAGCAACACCAATATTGTCTTTTGTCATCACTCTGTTCAGCATAGCTTCGGATCCATCTGAATTAGCCATTGCCACTTGGTTAAATTCCACTGTATGTTTCTGCACCAATGTAAATCTAAAAGGTACAATGCATTATGATGATGATATTAGGTACATGGACTGTCATGCTAAAAGACATCAAACAAAGGGGCACAAGATACAGTCACTGTTCACTGTCTCCTAGTCATTTTCTAGCTCTAAGAGGTCATGTGACACATCTGGCCAATGAGACAATATGAAGTCTTACTACTGTAAAAACTTTCTTGGAAGCACTATCTAGCAAAGATGGGATATAGATCACCTTTGTCCGTGTGGTGAGCAGCAGAAGGGCAAAAGGCAGCCTACTATGGACTGTGAAGCAGTTGACTGGATGGCTATTTCTGGACTTCTTGTGTATGAAGAAGTAAATTACCCTTTTCCCATTTCCTTAAACTACTGTTGGGACTTTCTGGTATTTCAAAGGTGAACACACTTACCTGAGTTGGCAAGTTAATAAGAAAGAATAAAATCTACCTACCCTGTTGCAGTTTTATTCTCCCTGGATCAAGAGATTTGACAAGAAAATGCAGGTGCACACCCTCATCTTAGCTAAGGAGAATCAAGTTCCCCATCTGGCTATTCCTGGAAAACTGGAACCACATTTACATAGTGTTCAGAGGAACAACTGTGAGATGTAGAATGGCTCTCCCTGTGACTACTGCTTCTGCACTAAAAGCTTTTTTTTACCTTAGTTGCAGAATTGAATCCAGCACTGATATTTAATAGCAGTAATAGCAGTATGACCTTGGTCAAGCCATTTAACTTCTTCCAGTCTAGTTTTATTAAGTTCATGAAATGTTTATAAATGACCAAAACCTACTAAATATTTTATCTACTTTTCACTGGATTTAAGTGGAGAGAAGATATCTTTGTTCCTTTAAGAGGCCCCTACCTCATCCTCCTCCTGGCGTTGAAACAGAAGCATGCACACCCCTTCAAAAGTACTAAAATCTTACTATGCTGCAGGACACTGCTAGATGAAATAACACTCCTCTCCTTGCTCCAATTCTTAATGTCTCAGATGAGCTGAGAAGAATATGAGGTCAGACTGTGTACCTATTTCTAACCCAGAGTGATTAAAGGTACTACAGTTTCCACCCTCTAAAGAAGTGACCTTTAAGATGAAACATAAAGAATGAGGAATTACCAAATTGAAGAGTGGGATTAAAAGCATTCCAGATAGAGGAAGAAATAATGGTCCTGAGCCAGCAAAGAATTTTGTATGTTTACAGGTTAGAAAAAAATGAAGGGTATGAAATGATTTTGGAGATGGAAGGAAGAGGAAGGGCTAAAGGTTCTAAGGAAAGACATGATGTTATTTATCTTAAGATCACTCCAAATGCTTTGTGGAGAATAGATTACAGGAGCCAAAGTAGGAACTCTGAGACCAATCAGAAAGTTTTTGAGGTTGTCTGGATGACAGATGATGGTGGCTTAGACTAAGGAAAGAGAAATAAAAAGTAGTAGGCAGATTCAACTATATTCCTTAGGTAGAACTGGCCATCCTGCATACCAGACTTTTTCAAATATGTTTAAGCAGTGGAATACCTCTTTCAAGCAATGCCTGGTATGAATCCCATATATAAAACAAATCAAATCAGTATTATGCTTGAATAAATCAATCACTGAAAACAATGAATCTATTCTGATGAATATAAACATTTGAAATCAGAAGGTATGGATGATAATTAGTCTTCTATCAGTCTCAGTATACAATTTATTTCTATATTTTGCTTTGGTTACACAGTATCCATAAAAATCCTTATTCACACAGATAACAAATGTAAGTGGTAAATAACTGGCCTTGAATCAGAAAAAGCAAGTGAGCAGGCAAAAACCTGAGTCAGAGGTCTGCACCAAAACAAATCAACTAAGCAGAATATCAGATAATGTTATTGATTTCCAAAGTTGAAACATTTGAGTAAACACATTATTTCCAACTTACAGTTCAAGTATTTGCATTTAACTGTCAAAATATTTTCTAAATATTTACAGAACTCTTAACACATATTTATAGGAACCCAGGGCTCTGTAAGAAAGTCTGAGAATGCTACTTAATAGTAATGTTTTTAGTATTGAAATATTTCACTTCTATCAAAGCTGGGCCATTATTTGGGATGGGGGAGTTATTTAATTATTATAAATGTCTTCCTTAACTAAAATTTGTTTCCTTCTATCTTTCTTCCATTAAAACTAGATCTAGATCATTTCTTTAAAGTATAGAATAAATCTAATTTCTTTTCCACTTGACAGTACTTTAAATATCCCAAAGTCTTTTCTAGAAAAGAAATGATCAACTTCTTTTCTGATACATAGTGTAAGACAGTTATTCCTCTTAACAACTCAAGTTTACCCAAAGGTGTAGTATCTAGAATTGGATATAATCAAGTACTTCTTTCTTCCTTTTGGACTGTATTTTTGTCAACAAAGATTGAAACTTCACTTTGGGGAAAGCCACATGAATTATAACTGAATAAGAACTAACATACATCTTAAAGTTTTTGATCTCTTAAACCAGGTATCTGAACTCCTGGTTTTTAAAACATGCTTAATTCAAATATGCTTAAAAACAAGTAAGTGAAAGAAATGATCTTGTAAGTTACATGTTTACTGTAGAGATTTGAGAATGAGGAAAAATACAAAGAAAATTTATAGTCACTTGAAACCCCATATCCCCATTAACTAAGTCAATATATATTTCTCAAGACTTCTCTCCATGCATATGTACACAAATATTTTTACACAATAAGGAAAATACTTTATAAATTTATCTTTTGATGTATTAATGAATGTTCTACCAGGGACTTTCCCTATAAAATTATTCTTTAAACTAAATGTTTATGATTGCATTACCATCTGCTATACAGATTCACCATAATTTAATTAGTATTTGTTGGACCACTTATGTTACTTCAGATTTTAACTATTATAACTAATGCTATTATGAACATTTTTGCATATAAATATTTTTCTGTACTTTCAAATAATGTTGACCCTCCCTCTTTCTCTTCTTTTAATAATCTAAGAGGAGTAAGGAGACAGAGGCACTGAGCAACACATTAGAACAGATGGACCTAACAGACATCTACAGAACACTCCACAAAAAGCAGAGGGATACACATTCCTCTCAAGTGCACATAGAACATTTCCAGAATAGACCACATACTAGGCCACAAAAAGAGCCTCAGCAAATTAGAAAACACTGAAATTGTACCAAGCAACTTTTCAGATCACAAACGTATGAAGCCAGAAATAAATTGTACAAAGAAACAAAAAGGCTAACAAACATATGGAGGCTTAAAAACATGCTCCTAAATAATCAATGGATCAATGACCAAATTAAAACAGAGATCAAGCAATATATGGAGACAAATGAAAGCAACAACAACTCAAAGCCCCAACTTCTATGGGACGCAGTGAAGGCAGTTCTAAGAGGAAAGTATACAGCAACCCAAGTCTATTTAAAGAAGGAAGAACAATGTCAAACGAACAATCAATATCTACAACTACTGAAACTGGAAAAAGAAGAAAAGTGAGGCCCAAAGTCAGTAGAAGAAGGGACATAATAAAGCTCAGAGAAGAAATAAATAAAATTCAGAAGAATAAAACAATAGAAAAAATCAATGAAACCAAGAGCTGGTTCTTTCAGAAAATAAACAAAATAGATAAACCCTTAGTCTGACTTATCAAGAAAAAAACAGAATCTACACACATAAACAGAATCAGAAATAAGAAAGGAAAAATCAAGATGGACACCATAGAAATACAAAGAATTACTAGAGAATACTATGAAAAAATTATATGCTAATAAAACTGGATAACCTCGAAAAAATGACACTTCCTAGAAAAATACAACCTTCAAAGACTGACCAAGGAAGAAACAGAAAATCTGAACAGACCAATTACCAGCACTGAAATTGAATCCGTAATCAAAAAACTAACCAAGAACAAAACTTCCAGACCAGATGGTTTCACCAGAGAATTTCATCAGACATTTAGAGAAGAGATAATACCCATTCCCCTTAAAGTTTTCCAAAAAAATAGAAGAGGAGGGAATACTTCCAAACTCATCCTATGAAGCCAGCATCACTCTAATACCAAAATCAGGTAAAGACACCACGAAAAAAGAAAACTACAGACCAATATCCCTGATGAAAATAGATGCAAAAATACTCAACAAAGTATTAGTAAACCAAATTCAAAACTACATAAGGAAGATCATACATCATAATCAAGTGGGATTCATCCCAGGGATCCAAGGATGGTACAACATTTGAAAATCCATCAACATCATCCACTATATCAATAAAAAGGAAAAAAATCACATGATCATCTCCATAGATGCTAAAAAGGCATTTGACAAAATTCAACATCCATTCGTGATAAAAATCGTCAACAAAATGGGTATAGAGGGCAAGAACCTCAACATAATAAAGGCCATATATGACAAACCCACAGCGAACATCATACTTAACAGTGAGAAGCTGAAAGCTTGTCATCTAAGATCAGGAACAAGACAAGGATGCCCACTCTTCCCGCTATTATTCAACATAGTACTGGAGGTCCTAGCTATGGCAATCAGACAACACAAAGAAATAAAAGTCATCCAGATGGGTAAGGAAGAAGTTAAACTGTCACTGTTTGCAGATGACATGATATTGTACATAAAACAACCCCTAAAGAATCCATTCCAAAAACTACTAGATATAATATTTGAATTCAGCAAAGTTGCAGGATACAAAATTAATACACAGAAATCTGTAGCATTCCTATACACTAATGATGAACTAGAAGAAAGAGAAATCAGGAAAACAATTCCATTCACAATTGCATCAAAAAGAATAAAATACCTAGGAATAAACCTAACCAAGGAATGAAAGACCTATACCTTGAAAACTACAAGACACTCTTAAGAGAAATTCAAGAGGACACTAACAAATGGAAATTCATCCCATGCTCTGGTAGGAAGAATTAATATTGTCAAAATGGCCATCCTGCCTAAAGCAATCTACAGATTCAATGCAATCCCTATCAAAA